CTGCCTGCTGTGCTTTATGTTTTTCCCATTCTACTTTTACAAAATTAATGAGATCCTGACACAGTTCTTTTGCTCTATCTAAACCCTCTTGACTCCAACAACTTAAAATGTAATAAATTGATAATCAATAATAATGGAATATATATCCTCGATAAAATTAACAATCAACCTATCTTATAATACATACGTAATATGAATATGGAGAGGTTCGAATGCTTCTGTACCAGAAGTAGGTTCAATATAGCCAGATCCTCGTCCTTTTAGCTGCACTTTGGCACCAGTTTCTTGTTGAATGTGCTTAACAAAAGCTCCTTGGGGCCCAACTATTTTCGCTCGTGCATTAAAAGTACGATCGGGTTCTATACCGACAAATACTTTATCCTGCACAAAATGACGCTAAAATAGAAATTGAAAAACTTTTAACAAAACAAGATGACGACGATTATTACTGATCATAAACGTACAGTGCCTGTATGTGGCGTTGGTCCTGGGCGAGCTGTCGGAGTTGTGGGTGCGGGAGTAAAAGCTTGTTCCATCAATTCTTCAATTTTCTTCACAGCTTGATCAAGCGCTTCTTGCGTTGGAGCTGTGACATGCAAAAATAGAGGTGGATCTTTGTCGGTGGCTAGACTTTTATCTGGATAATATTTTCCTCGCGTCGTTACATCTAAAAAATTCTACATTAAGTAAAAACTTTCACAAAGAATTAACAATTATATATATATATACACACATACCTGCGCCTGTCTCCTTTTGAATCTGCAATTTTTCAAATGAATTCAATGAAATCGAGAAAAAAGTTAAACAACATCGACGAAATATATCTAAAAATGTCAACCTGTTGCTGAGTAGCCCCTTTTGTTAGCAAATATCTATTTTTACAATCGTTTATTGTAATATCCTTAATGAAATCCATATCAGCTTCTTTAATAGCTGATTGAATCTGCTTATTTTCCTATTAAGAGTTATGAATAATTCATTTATGATCAAGTATAGATACATATAAAAAAATCGGGAAAGTAATGAATAAATTCTCACCTCTATAGTATCAGTGGTAGCAGTATCTGATTTTCCAAAAGTTTGAGTTTGAAGTTTAACACCTGTAACAGGAGGTTTAACGGGAATTTGAATTCCCTTCGCGGCAAGCATGGCGTTAATTTTCGCTGCGGCAACAGCTAAATCAAACAAAATATTAAGAGAATTAATGAGAGTTTTTATGTATGCTATATATTTAGATTGAGAATAATAATAAATTACCAGCAGCAATGTTTGGATCAACAGAATCTGAGTTCGAAGGTGTCGGTGAAATTCCACCAGATCCAATTGCTTCACTACCTTTTTCAAGCTTTGCATGTTTGGACACTGGTGGTGAATTATCAGTTTTTGATGGAGGAGCTTCTTTACCTTGATCATCAAGGTCCCACTTACGTTTTCGACTGGTAAGGTATTTTTAAAGGTTAATCAAATGAAACTCTACTTTTTAATTGAAGGAGGCAGATGGCAAACTTACTTTTTACTTGGATTAGACATGTTGTTTGATAAGAATTATGCGTCAAGAAATAATATATAGCAAGGTCAAAAAAAGGAAATTTGAAATTTTCAAATATTTTTTTATTATTGTGCAACTTCGCATCACTTGAATCACTTGAGCGCACGTGTAGAGAACAATTAAATAGTAAGGGGTACTTATTCAATGAATGTAATATGCGGTCGGCGCGCCCGGACGATTTGAAGAGTAGAAAGGCTCAGCATATAAGCTGCCGGCTGAAAGGAACGAACCGTTTGAGCGAGAAAGAGCAAGCCTAAATACACAGTCAAAGAAATGGATAAAAGGTTTCTAATCCAATCTATTTTGATTATCTATTGCTCTTCAACATCACTTCTATGCAACCAGTCTCAAAAGCTATAAAATTATGGTACTCAATTACGCCTTTTGTTCTAGAAGTTGTTAATTTTGTCAAATATAATGCAAAAGATTATATAGAAATTGTACGAGGTGATAATGACTGATGGTTCTTCCTTTACCCAAAGGAACAATAATAACTTTTAAGTAAATAGATCACATTTGATTATCGTGTTTTCTTTATCGTATATTGGAATCATTGGTATAATTTTACAAATGACAAATTTCTTTTGATGAGCATGCATTTATCATATTTATATATATTATTTGTAATACTGCCGGCCAAATCGAAGCTGCACTTGTTCACTCACTTGGATATCCTTCTTTTCATACCAGTCAATTCATCTCTTTCATCCCCTATCCCTTCTTCCCTTTCCCCTCCACCTCCTTATCGAATTTTTCTCGAAGCAGTTTTTCTGCTTTAGAAAAAGCATCGAATACTTTTGGGCTCTTGTTTAAGCTGGTCTGAGCACATTTTTCTCTGGTGGGCAGATTCGGTCTGGTTTTTCCAGTGAGCTGCTGCTGTCCCTGTTTTTTTAGCAATATTTTGCGACTAGCCTGTTTAATATCCATGTATGGGAACTACTGTGGTTCCATGTTCTCTCTCACTACATAGTCTTTATTACCTAGAATAAATTGTTTATATTGTTGCAATGACAAGATATCCTCAGTAAATTCTATTCCTCGAAATTGGTGCTTTCGTGAGGAACAAATATTGAATTGCCGAAGCGTTTTGTTAAATTTCCAAATTAGATGGTTTCGTTTCGTATGCTCAAATATTTATCATTTGATTGGTCGATCAGATTTTTTAAACTTTCGGAAACCACTGACTCAAATATATATTATTTCACTGTGAAGAAATAATCTTCAAAGACTGCCGACATTCAACTTGTTTTTCCCTTGTTTAATACAACTGTCCAAACATACATAACCTCATCAAAAAAGTGTGCTCAAAAAGAATTTATTCATTGAACTAAGAACCCCTCAAATATCGCGCAAAAATAATTTGAAGGAACAAGCAATGGACCAAACAGTTTATGAAACCTTAACCCGAGTCCTTTCCACGGACCCAAACCTTCGAGTTTCTGCAGAGATAAGGCTTAAAGATTTAGAAAAGTTACCAGGTAGGTCTTTTTACATTACTGACCTCTTGAATGCGTTTTGTGACGCGTCTTTTCATTGGAAAAATTAGCATTAAAGCTGTTACGACGCGTCTTTTTGTTTGAAAAGTCTTTATAAAGTAAAAAAAAAGGTTTCTGATGATAATAAGTTCATAAAGACTTTTATGACATTATCACTTTCTTTTTATTGACCAAAATTAATAGTAACTAATAAAGATTTTTTTAGAATATCCAATTAGTTTGGCGAAAATTACATTGGCTTCAGACGTGAATATAACAGAGCGTCAAATATCCTTCAATTTTTGTTCTGTTTATATGATGATTTTTTTTATTTCGTTTGTTCAGATATTATTAATATGATTTTATCTATAACTAAATTTGACATTACTCGGCAGCCCTTAATTTGAAGAAATACGTGGCTTCACATTGGTCACCTAAAGCGGAACAATTCACCGAACCTGAGCCAGATGAGAAGGTTTTATTGGTCCCATTGATTTACAACATTTAAGTATAATATAACTAAAGAACATATTTTCTTTTTGTTGAACTTTAGACAAAATCCATAGTCAGAGAAATGATTTTCAATGGTCTTTCGGACCCTATTAGCAAAATCCGTGTAGTTTCGGTAGTAATATTGGAATGGATCCATCTTACTCGCTTAATCATTTCCACTTTAATTTTATTACTCACGTGCTCAATTCGTTCAGGCTTATGTTGTCTCAAGAATTGCACAAAATGATTGGCCTGATGCATGGCCAAATCTCATGAATCTATTAATAAGTTTGTTGAAGACAGGTTCACCTAACCATGTTCATGGTGCTATGAGAGTACTTACGGGTAGAGATAAATTTATTTGCTGGGAAAATTTTGAAATAATTAACTCGACTAATCAATTTTTGAATTTTCAAGAATTTGTGGATCAGGAAGTAACAGAAAATCAATTCTCACAGATTGCGCCTATAATGTTTCCAGAACTTTTCAGAATCCTTCACTCTGATGAGGTATTTATTCATGTTTTATAATCCACAAATTATTGCATTATTCAATCAATAATGACATCTTTTATCCAATAATATCTCTTCTAGTTATACTCGTTTAAAACTCGTGCACGTGCTGTTGCAATTTTCAAACATTGTCTCGAAATATTAGTTATGCTTAAGGAAGAACATCCAGAAGCGACGGAATCTTTTATTACTCCAATTCTTCCTCAGTGGTTACAGCTTTTTGTTAATATATTAAAAAAGCGAACAGCAGGCGATGAAAAACTTGAATATGAAGAATATGGTTTGAAACTAGAAATCACAAAGGTTGTTCTCTATAACGTTATTAATTTATTTTTAATTAAGTAGATATCTTTAATATTTTTACTAATTCCTCTTTTTAAAAGTGCGTAAATTTCTCAACACATAATTATCCGAAGTTGGTTTCTCCACATCTGATTTCATTACTGGAAGCAATATGGACTGATTTGGTTAATCAACGTGAAAGATATCCTAGAAATATGCTTTAAAGAAATTTAGTGTTTTATTTATTCTCTTTATTCTTTAACTTGTTAATCCTCTTTGTATTGATATTATTACACATTCGAGAGCAAATACGTGCGCCAATTAAGTGATTCAACGGATTACTACGAATCCGACGGAGAACCAATAGGATTTGAGCATCTTCTCTATGCTCAATTTGAATTCATCGGACTATGTATTCGTAAAAAAACGACCCAAACCATTTTTATTGGGAATAATGGCGAAGCAACATTATTAAAAGAAATTATATGGATTATTATTTCGTATATGCAAATGACTCAAGATCAGGTTTATGTTCTTTTTGGTGCAATTATTGTGGAATTATTTTGAAATTCTTGTATTTAATGTATTAATTGATGTATGGAATAGGTAGAGACTTGGCTAAATGATTCGAACCAATTTGTCGAGGAGGATGACGAAGATACAATTAAGTTTACGATTAGAGTTTCAGCTGAAGAATTATTACAGGTAAAAGACAGTTGATCTTCTATATTATTATCTCATAAAATTAAAATAATGTCCTTAAATTCTTGTAAATATAGATATTACTTGACAAATTTCCTGAGCTAGCATTTCAGGCTCTACAAGAAGCGACTCAAAAGCATATCGAGGCATCCCATAAGGCTCGGGTTGCTGGTGATCCTGCATGGTAATTTACTTGATTGAAGTTCTAAAAATGACTTAATAAGTCATTAATTTTTTTGCATTAGGTGGAAAATTCAGGAGGCTTGTTTAAAGGCGATCGGATTTATATCTGAAGAATTGATAACCGCTGTTCAAGAAAAAGATAACAAAGTCAATTTCGATATAGCTGGTTTATTTAACAATGTTGTTCTAGCTCTTTTGTCAATGAATGGTAAAAACTTAAATTTCGCCAAATCTATCATTTTTTTGATTTTCTATTTAATTTATTTTTTTTTTGTACAGAGCAACCTTTTCTTCAAGGACGCGCATTTGTCTTCATTAGTCAATTCGCCTCTATATTACCTGTCGAACATGCTTCCAACTATATAGAAGCCACGGTAACCGCTCTTCAACAGAATGGTGCAATTCCCCTCCAAGTTTCAGCCTTGAAAGCACTTCAAAAGTAAATCTATTAGACAGTTTGTTATGCTTGAGGAGAAATGATCACATGATGATAATCTATGGTCAAACGTCTTAGTTTCTGTCGCCACATGAAACGTCAATATGTGGCGCCATATCAGGGGAAGATCATTGAATGCGTTACAAGTTTATTGAAATCCACCTCTGAAGACACGCTCATCTTATCTTTGGAGACACTTGAGGCTTCTGTCAAAGTAAGTCAGTTCTTGAATTGATCTTAGACACAAAGATATGGAGTGTTTTCTTACTCTTAAGTGAAATTAGATTGACAATGAGAAAACAGCCCAATACGAGCATATTATCGGTCCTTTGATCATTGAAGTTTGGTCAAGTCATGCAAATGGTAAGATAGTAATATTCTCGACTTAAATACCTATATTAATTTTATTATTATTAATAACTTTTTTTTATTTATAGATCCTCTTATTACAGCCACTATCGTAGATTTGTTTGAGTTATTAGCTAGTAATCAAACCATGAATATTAGTTTTCAGGCTAGGGCTTTGCCATCTCTTGCTAACGCTATCACCAATCCTGCAAATCCTGATTTAACTGCTGTATGTATTTACTGAATAAATTTCAAGCAATGGGTTGCATAAGATCGATAATTTATTCTGAATTCTAAAAATTCAATGAATAGTCAGCTATTGATCTGATTAAAACTTTAGTAAAGGCTAGTTCATCCCCCTTACCAGACGGCTATATTCAGCACATTTTCCCCCCTCTAATGCATTTATTACTGACAACCGAAGATCGTGATATCTTACAGGCAAGTAAAATTTGATTATTCTTGGGGAATATAATTAATAATTATGTCATGTATTTTATATTATAGAATGGAGAAGAATGCCTCAAATTCTTCGTCATGAAAGATTGCATGAAGCTTGCTCAGTGGTAATTTATTTACTTCTATATAAATCAAATTTATTTTTAAACGTATCACTATATACTCTTCCTCTTAGGAATGATGGGTCAGGAAAGACAGGGCTTGATTATATAATTGAGCTTATTGCAAAATTACTTCAACCATCTGAAAGCGAATCAGCTGCATTATTTCTTGGCGAATTGATTATAAAACTCATTCAAAAGGTTTATGATTCTACTCATTTACTCCTAAATTTTTTATTGCATTATGTCATGATTAATACGGATATTATTTAACACCATAGGCCGGTGACTTAATATTAGCTGTGCTTCCAGATTTATTGAAAGCCGTGGCAACTAGATTAGAAACAGCACAAACGCCAACTTTTATACAGGTTTGATTAGAAT